CTCTCTGATGCATAACAAGTGATAGCAAAGACAATGGCCTGTATCAGAGGGACCTTAGTCTCCAGAGAAACACCATTGCTCTTCAGTACTTTGGAGAGGTCCCTAAGAGCAGACTTTCCCATCGCAATATGTCTTTTAATTTCCTGGTTACTGGTGCCAAGAGTGTTGACTGTGGAACCAAGGAAACTAAAGCTGTGAACAATCTCAATCTCTTCACCATCCATCCTGATGCTGCCAATTGGTCCAGTGGTGTCAATCTTTGTCTTCTTGACATTGAGCTTCAATACATATTGGAGGCTGCAGTCCTTGATCCTCTGCAGCAATCACTTCAAGTTCTCCTCAGTTTCAGCAAGCAGGTTTGTGTCATCTGCATAATGCAGATTGTTGATGACTCTTCCACCAATCTTGACCCCACATTTCTCCTCATAGAGCCCAGCCTCCTGGATAATCTGCATACAGGTTAAAACTTTTAATAAATGTTGAAGAAATATGACACCCGTAGTAGAACCAAGCTTGCTCCTCCTGCGTCAGCTATGCTTCAAAGTAATAGAGAAGAGATTATCTGGAAGCAGTAAGAAAGATAAGTAGGTACATCTGTATTTTAAGGAACATGTGGAGCAGGGAAAATAACAGTCTCCATTTGTAAATGATGTGCTAAAGGGAACAGAAATCTTGAAAGAAAGTTAATCCTATGTAGAGGCAAGAACATGAGTGGAAGGTCACTGTAGATTTAGGGTGGCTAACTGATCTTAGGACAGTGGTCATATATTACTGAGAGGGCTAGAGTTGGAATGTGAGGTAGATGAGAGACAGAACAGCTCAATGATGGGGTCATTGTATGGGTTATTTTATCTCTTTCTCATACATGTGTTTATCTAAATATCTGGTGACCTCATGTAAGGAGTTGGGCTACCAATCCAAAGGCATGTAATTTGAATCCACCAGTTGCTTCATGGGATAAAGGTAAGCAGTCAGCTCCTTTGCAATTTACAGCATCTGAAAACTCTCTGGAAGGTCAATTATGATCTGGTTATGAATTATGAGTCAGTTCCAAGTCGAAAGCACCTAGCAGTAACAACATATATATGTTGTTTGTTTGTTGTGTGCTGTTGAGATGGAACCAACTCATAGCTGACCCTCCAACAGGTTTTCCAAGGCAGTAAGTTGACTGGGAGGATATTGCCAATGTTTCTCCTAAAGAGCAGCTGGTGGTTTTGATCTATATACATTTAGTATTACAGCACATCTGACCACTAGGCCACCAGAGAGCTTACACACACACACACACACACACACTCGCAACAAGCAATAGAAAAGTTTAGATTTTCTAGCTTTATTCAAATAGATATGATTGTGCCCTCTAAAAATACATGTCAATTTGGCTAGGCTAATATTCTCAGCGATTTGCTGGTATTGTAATGACATAGTTTGGCAATAGTGTGTGATGATATAATGATGTTCCAAAAGATGATCTGACATGGCCAGTCAATAAATTACAAGGGAATTAGAGTGGGATGAAATACTCTCATTATTTAGGTCAGCTTCTACCCTAATGTGGTAAGTTTCTGTGAGCTGTGAACTGCATCAACTTTTATTTTGTAATAGATAAAAGAACAGAGAAGAGGGCAGAGATGGAGGTATCTGTCACCAAGAAAGAAGACTCAACTCAGGCTAAAGCATTTCTGTTGGACTATGGATCCTTGTGCTGAGAACTCCTTTGACCTAAAGGAATATTGATGCCAAGGCACAAGGATATCTCAAAGTGTGCTGAAACTACTTATGTTGTAAAGAGACAGCGACTTCTCCCCAAACCCTTCTCCTGAAGCTGTTGCAGTGAATTTGGATTTCTAGCTCCTAAACTATGAAGAAATGTCTTCATTCACATTGTTACCATCTTGAGGTATTCCTGTAACAGCAACACTAAATAAGTAAGCATTTGCTCCCTGGAAAGTCGTTTAGTATTCTAACAAATAGTTACAATGTGGAAGTTTTGAGGTTGGGTAATTGTTGGAGGTTGGGGCTGTTTTAACATGATTAATAGAGGAGCCTAGATTGTTGTGAAGAAACTGTTGATGAAGTATAGATACCAAAGGCCATTCAGTTCTAGTGAAGTTTAGAAGGGAGGAAAACTACTGAGAAAATTTCTGTTGTGAACACATATGGTACCAAACCCAGGATGTTGCCAGAAATGTGGGTGTCAAATATGTTTCTGATGTTATTTTTTCTTTTTAAAATGAATTTTTAAATTTTATACTGGTTGGCATACAAAAAATACATAATGCATACATTGTGTTTCATTCATATAATTATATTTCACACATTCCTTCATTCACATTGTTTCATATGTTCATTATAATTCATTGTTTTATAAAATTAATGACCTTTGATCTGTGCCCACTATCAATCCATCTTTTCAAGTCTCCACTGGATCTTACCTAATTCCTTCATCCCCTCCCTCTGCCCACCAAACTCTGTGACCCCGTATTTTGCTCCCTCCTCCTCTACAACCTCCTCACTTTCTCCTTCCCCCTTTGTACTTCTATACACATTTTACTAATTACTCTTCTATTTTTACATTGGTCTTAAGCAGTATTTGTCCTTATGAGACTGATTTTGTTCACACAGCAAAACGATCTCTGGTCTCTCCCATGTTAAATGGTATTTTTCTAAGTCATTGTTCCTGAGTGATTCATAATATACCATTGTGTGAATGTACTACAATGCTCAATCCATTATTTTGGGTTTTTTTTTGTTCATTTCATTAATGTACATAGTGATCTCTGTGTGTGTGTGCTTCACACTTTCCTTCATTGACATTATTTTTCATACTATTGTTCCCATACATTATGTTTTATAACGTTAATCATCATTGGACTATCCCCACCATTCACTGCCTTTTCAGGTCCCAACTAGATCTTTCTTATTTTCTTTACTCCCTCTCTCCTTCCACCAAATTATGTGATATTGTGATTTTCCCCTACCCACTGTCACCCCTCTTCTTCCATCTCTCCCCCTTTCAGAGTTCCATATACATTTTACTATTAAACTTTCTATTTTAAAGGAAAATTATGATAATGTCATTGAACAATGGAGGGAGGGAAGTTCTTATGGATTGGCAAAAAGCTTGTCTGAATGATGTTCTAATATTTGGTGGAAGGAAGAACTATTATGTGATGGACTTATATATCTGTTTACTGAGATTTCTATGCAAAATCATTAAAAAATGTATGATTTTTTATGTTACTTATAATAAAATATTAGAAGAAATACACTTAATAACAACCTGTGAAAAATTAACACCAAGCTCAAAGAGTTGAGAAATCCCATTGTAAAAAAAAAAAGAACAAGTACTCCATGCGGTTCACTAAGACTTGACTGTATAATCAGTTATTAAGGAGATTAAGCCTGAAACTGATGGATCTAGCCAACTTCTATAGCAGAAAACTAATCTGCCTACACTGAAGGAGACAGAGAAAAGAACAAAAGCCAGTAACAGAATGTTGTCAGCCTCAAGAAATTCTATGTTGTTGTTGTTATGTGCCATCAAGTAGCTCGCAATTCATAGCGACCCTATGTACAATAGCCCTAAACACAATTCTATCCTGTGCCAACCTCACCACCTCAGATACACTCATTCCCACCACCCCAATCACAGGATCAATACATCTTATTGAGGGTCTTCCTCTCCTGCGCCGTCCCTCCACTCTCCCAAACATGATGTCCCTTTCCAAGGACCAGTCCCTCCTTGCAACACGCCCAGTATGTCAGAAGAAGCTTCAGAATCCTTGACTCCAAGGAGCATTCCGGCTTCACCTTCGCCAGGAAAAACCTGTTTGTTCTCCTAGCAGTCCATGGTATACTCAACACTCTTCTCCAGCCCCACAGTTCAAAGGCATAAATTCTCTTTCTCTCATCCCTATTCACTGTCCAACTCTCTGATGTATAGCACGTAACTGTGAAGACTATAGCCTGGATCAGGCACACCTTAGCCTCCAGCCTGACACCGTTGCTTTTCAGTACCCTTGAGAGGTCCCTCACAGCTGACTTTCCCAATTCAATTCATCTCTTGATTTCCTGGCTGCTGTTACCAAGAGTGTTGACTGTGGAACCAAGCAAACTAAAACTGTTAACTATCTCAATCTCTTCACCATCCATCCTGATGCTGTCAATTGGCCGAGTGGTGAGAATCTTGGTTTCCTTGATGTTGAGCTTCAATCCATATTGAAGACTGCAGTCCTTGACCCTCTGCAGCAAGCACTTCAGGTCCTCCTCAGTTTCAGCAAGCAGGGTTGTGTCATCCACATAATGCAAGTTGTTGATGACTCTTCCACCAATCCTGCTGCCACATTCCTCCTCATACGGCCCAGCATCTCAGATAATCTGTCTGCATACAGATTGAAAAGGTATGGAGACAAAATACATTCCTGATGGACCCCCTTCTTGATTTTGAAGCATGTAGTGTCTCCTTGCTCTGTTCTGAAGACTGCCTCTTGGTCTAAGTATAGGTTTTGCATTAGCACACTCAAATGTTGTGTGATTCCCATTCTCAGAGTCAGCCATAGCTTGCTGTGAGCCACACAGTAAAAAATTTTTGCATAGTCAAGGAAGCACAGATCTTCTTTCCGCTAAGATCCATCTAACATTAGCTACAATATCCCTAGTAGCAAGACCCCTTCTAAACACAGCCTGGACTTCTGGCAGTTTTCTTTTGATGTGCTGTTCCAGTCACTTTTGGATAATCTTCAGCAGAATCTTGCTTGCATGTAATATCAATGATATTGTTGGATAATTTCCACACTCTGTTGGGTCACCTTTCTTTGGAATGGGAACAAATATAGATCTCTTCAGTCAGTTGGCCAACTGGTTGTCCTTCAGATTTCTTGGCACAGCTTCTAGGGCAGCATCTGTTAGTTGAAATATGTCACCTGGCTATTCTCTTCATGCTTGGTGCTCGCTTCCTTCCCTTTTTGCCTCCGCTGTCACCTAGCTCCACGTACAGCCGACATCATGGGCTTCGGAGACCTCAAGACCACCGCCGGCCTCCAGGTCCTCAACGATTACCTGGCGGACAAGAGCTACTTCGAGGGATATGTGCCTTCGCAAGCAGATGTGGCAGTGTTTGAAGCCATCTCCAGCCCCCCACCTTCCGACCTGTGTCACGCCCTGCGTTGGTACAATCACATCAGGTCTTACGAGAAGGAAAAGGCCAGCCTTCCAGGAGTGAAGATAGCGTTGTGCAAATATGGCCCTGCTGATGTGGAAGACACCACCGCAAGTGGGGCTACAGACAGTAAAGATGACAATGACATTGATCTCTTTGGATCTGATGATGAGGAGGAAAGTGAGGAAGCAAAGAAGCTAAGAGAAGAGCGCCTTGCCCAGTATGAGTCAAAGAAAGCTAAAAAACTTGCACTAGTTGCCAAGCCTTCAATCTTAATAGACGTGAAGCCGTGGGATGATGAAACTGACATGGCAAAACTAGAAGAATGTGTCAGAAGTATTCAGGCAGACGGCTTGTTCTGGGGCTCTTCCAAGCTAGTATCTGTGGGATATGGTATTAAGAACTACAGATACAGTGTGTAGTTGAAGATGATAAAGTTGGCACGGATATGCTGGAGGAACAAATAACTGCTTTTGAAGACTATGTGCAGTCCATGGACGTGGCTGCTTTCAACAAAATCTAAAATCCTTCTGCTTCCAACAATAGAACCTTTAAAAAACAAAAAGAAATATGTCAACTGGTATACCATCTATTCCTGGGGTCCTATTTTTTTGCCAATTCCTTGAAAGCATCTTGAACTTCTTCTTTCATCAACATAGACTCTTGCTCATATGTTGTTTCATGAAATTATTCTGTGTCTGCCAATTCCTTTTAGTAAGGTGACTCTCTGTACTCTTTCCATCTTCTGTTAACACTTCATAGACCATTTAATTTTGTGCCCAAAGCATCATTAAGTATAGCAACTTGAGGTCTGAATTTGTTCTTCAGTTCCTTGAGCTTAAGAAATGCTGAGCAAGTTTGGTCTTTTTGACTTTCCGACTCCAGCTCCTTGCACATTTCATTGTAATATTTTACATTGTCTTCCCACACTGCTTTTTGAAATCTTCTGTTTAGCTCTTTAATATCTTGAGTTGTTCCCTCTACTTTAGCTTCTTGGCCCTCTAGTGAAATATTCAGAGTCTCTTCTGACATCCATTTTGGTCTTTTATTCCCACCTTGTCTTTGTAATGACCTTTTGCACTCTTTCTGGATGATACTCTTGATATGGTCCCACAACTCATCTTCGCTTATTGGTGTTCAAGCCTCAAACTTGTTCCTGAGATGGTTCTGAAATTCAGATAGGATAGACTCAAGGTCATATTTTGGTTCCCATGGACATGGTTTAAAATTAAGAAAGGTGTGCATCAAGGTTGTATCCTTTCCCCATACCCATTCAATCTGTACGCTGAACAAATTATTTAAGAAGCTAGACTCTATGAAGAATAAAGTGGCATCATGGTCAGAGGAAGACTTATCAATAACATTCATTATGCAGATGACACAACCTTATTTGCTAAAAAGTGAGGAGGACTTGAAGTACTTGCTGTTGTTGTTGTTGTTGTGTGCCATTGAGTTGCTTGGGACTCATAGCAACCCTATGTACAACAGTCCTAAACCCTCCTCTATCCTGTGTCGGTTGCACTGCCTCTGACACACTCATCCAGATTTCCCTAGTCACTGAATCAATCCAACTCATAGAGGATCTTCCTCTGTTGTGCCATCCCTCCGCCCTCTCAAGTATGATGTCCAGAAGATTAAAGAATACAGCTTTCAATATGGATTGCTTCTCAAACATCAGGGAAACAAAAATTCTCACCACTAGACCTATAAGAAACATCATGATAGATGAAATTGTCAATTATTTCATCTGACTTGGATCCATAATAAATATACTTGGAAGCAGAAGTCAGGAATTAAGGAACATTGTGCATTGGCAAAGTGTGTACTTAGAGAGTTTTCCAAATTATTAAGGAGCAGTGATATTAGCCTGGGTACTAAGATATACCTAATTCAGGCCATGGTCTTTTCAATCTCTTATTATGCATCTAAGAGCTGGACAATGAATAAGGATAATAGAAGAAGGATTGATGCCTTTGAACTGTAGTATTATTTTTGAAGAGAACTGAATATCCCATGGATTGCCAAGAGAACAAAGATATGTCTTGGAGAAAGTGAAGCTAGAGTGATCCTTGGAGATGAAGATGATAAAGCTTCATCTCACATATGTTAGGCATGTTGCTGGGAGAGACTACTTCTTGGAGAGGGACATTATGATTGGGAAGGTAGAGGGATGGTGAAAGAGAGGAAGATCCTTTACCAGGTGGATTAACACACTGCTGCAATGAGCTTGAGTGTGTCAGTGATTGGCACAAGAATGGCACAGGCTAGGACAGAGTTCAGATCTGTTGTTCATAGAGTCACTATGAATCATACTTGACTCAGAAGTTTCTAACAACAGCAACAACAATGTCTTAATTCACAAGAAAATGCATGTCTGGTTGTTAAAGTCACCATCTTGAGGTATTTCTGTTAGAGCAGCACGCGATAACTAATACAAAATTTATTCATGTATTTTAACAAATACGTAGTATTAGTTTGGAAATTGTATTTGTTTTATTTATTAGTTCCCTTTTGTTGTATGTGAGGATGCCATCATCACCTCCAGTCCCTAGTCATTGGATGGATGTGGTCCTGACCACTTCCTGTAATTCATCCATCCTCAGCCATACTCAATATAGACTGTTGCAGACTAGTGGCCTACTTTATAATTGTGAAACTTTATATGTTTCTATAAAAAAAAACCAGCTGAACTGATATGATAATAGGAGGTGACAAAGGATATGACTTCACTTATCTGAAATGTGGGAAAAGTGGCCACTGCAGAGACTTTAGTGTCATTTCTGATGACATTCCATTTAAACACGGTCCTTTTCCCTGACATGAGAACTCACCAGGTAAGACTACACAGATTGATTTCTGTTTTGGTTTCAGGAATTTAAGGTCATTGTAAAGCACCTCAAACTAGTTTTCTTTTCATACAAATTCATTTTAACCTCATTGAATATCTGTTGCTAGTGGAAAGATAGAAGAAAACTGGTTGGTTTTGGTTAGTATGCTGTTCTCCCCACAAATGAAGTGAAGTGAAGTGAAATGAAATAATGGCACATGCAGTTGTTAGTGTTTAAACTATAGAGACTGAGGAAAATTATAATCTGGAGTTCAATAAAATCACTTCAACATGATTGGCTTAGAGTCCTCACACATAAACAGTGCTTACCTAAGCATTATGTTTCCATGGTATTCATCTAAAAGAAAAACAAATAAGTAATCAGAAAGCCAGTAATTCCAGAAAAGCTTCAGAAATGCTCATGACCATGAAACTCAGAGTGAAAACAGATATATGCTGAGAAAATGTCTGTAGAACAAATTCTACTGAGAATATGCAGCCGCTGGACAAGGTTGATAACTCTGGAAGCTCATAGAAGCACTTAATCTTAAAACTGCCAGCTAGAAGAAGAAAGCACTCATCTATCTCTGCTTGAGATCTGCAAACAGGCTACTTGCTCCACTTCCCTTTGTAGCAAAAAGGGTTTTAAATTAATTCAGACATGCCCTCCCAAGCTAAACATACGGCTTGATTATCTGAAAGTTTCATGTGTCTGCAGAGGCAAGAACATTTCTTAGAAGAAAAAAAAAAGCTCGTTCTGTTTGTAAGAGTGCACACATGTATATATATGTGTGTGTGCACATATCTATAAATACATCTACATATATTTTTAAGGAGTTCTGCTGGCATAGTCTGTAGCCAGTTTTGCTACTAATCTAAAGGCCATGTCTTTCTGGTTGTTCAAAAACATCATTGTTTTCAAGAGAGAAAGTTACCCCATCTCTTCCTGTGTGATTTATGTGGTCTTGGAAACTCACTGGTGGATCAGCTATTAGCCAGTTTTTAGTTAGGATTTTTAGAGGAGATACATATATTTCAGAGGGAACTCTAGTTGCCTAGTAGCAAGAAGCTGTGGTGCAATCCTGAAGGCACACAGTTCAAGGCCACCAGCTGCTCTGCAGGATGATAGACAATCTTCTCCCATGATATTAACTGCCTCTGAAAACCCACTGGAGGGTCTGACTCAAAGGTACACAACCACAACAATATCTATAGCTCAAAGAGATGGATTGACACAGTTACTGAAACAATGAGCTTTAGGATAGCAAAGGATACAGCAAAATTTTAGTTTGTTATTCATGGAGTCCTTGATTATAGTGACTCGAGGTTTGAATTTGTTCTTCACTTCCTTGGGCTTAAGAAATGCTGAACGAGTTTGGCCTTTTTGATTTTCTGACTCCAACTCCTTACACATTTCATTGTAATATTTTACTTTGTAGTCCCGTGCTGCCTTTTGAAATCTTCTATTCAACTCTTTAGTATCTTGAATTCTTCCCTCTACTTTGGCTTCTCTGTGCTCCAGTGCAATTTTCAGAGTCTTTTCTGACATCCATTTTGGTCTTTTCTTCCTCTTCTGTCTTTGTTTAGAAGGGGTCGTGGTACTAGGGATATTGTAGCTAATGGTAGATGGATCTCAGCTAAAAACAGGGAATACCAGAGAAAAGTCTATCTGTGTTTCATTGACTATGCAAAGGTGTTTGACTGTGTGGATCATAACAAACTGTGGCTGACTCTGAGAAGAATGGGAATACCAGAATACTTGATCGTGTTAATAAGAAACCCATACTTGGAATAAGAGGCAGTCGTCAGAACAGAGTAAGGAAACACTGCATGGTTCAAAATTGGGAAGGGCGTACACCAGGGATGTGTCCTGTCTCCATACCTTTTCAACTTGTATGCAGAACAGATTATCTGGGAGGCTGGGCTCTATGAGGAGAAATGTGGGGGTCAAGACTGGTGGAAGATCTATCAACAATCTGCGATATGCAGATAATACAACCCTGCTTGCTGAAACTAAGGAGGACCTGAAGCGCTTGCTGGAGAGGGTCAAGGACTGCAGCCTACAATTTGGATTGAGGCTCAATGTGAAGAAGACAAAGATTCTCACCACTGGACCAATTGGCAGCATCAGGATGGATGATGAAGAGCCTGAGACTGTTCATAGCTTCAGTTTGCTTGGCTCCACAGTCAACACTCTCGGCACCAGCAACCAGGAAATTAGAAGACATGTTGCGATGGGAAAGTCTGTTGTAGGGACCATTCCAAAATACTGAAGAGCAATGGTGTCTCTTTAGAGACTAAAGTGCATCTGATACAGGCCATGGTCTTTGCTATCACTTATTATGCATCAGAGAGTTGGACAATTAGACCAAGGAGGATAGAAAGAGAATTGATGCCTTTGAGCTATGGTACTGGTGAAGAGTATGGAGAATACCATGGACTGCTAGGAAAACAAACAGATTCATCCTGGAAAGGGTCAAACTGGGCTGCTCCTTGGAGGCAAGGATTCTAAGGCTCCGTCTAGCATACTTTGGACATGTTGCAAGGAGGGACAGGTCTTTGGAGAGGGACATCATGCTAGGTAGGGTGGAGGGACAGCGCAGAAGGGGAAGGCCCCCTATGAGGTGGATTGATTCAGTGACTGGGGTAATCAGGATGGGTGTGTTGGTGATGGTGCGATTGCCACAGGACAGAGCCG